ATTTAAGCCGTCTCCAGCCATTATTAGTACTCTTTGTAAGTTCTTTGAAAAGATTCAGTTGAGAAAATTTTTAATTATTATTACAAAATCATAAATGCTTTAAATGAAATAACAATTTTTTACTTGCAAAATTACCACAGTAATTAATGAATGCAAGTTTCAACGACACCAACATATCAAAGGAGCAGTACAATGAAATTTTATGCTGTGCTAAGATATATATGAATGTTCTGACAATGCATGTCACTAACACACTGCTACTAGACCTCACTACCACACTCTAATGAAAGACAAATTTCACCTAGGATTAGACAAACCTCATTGAGTATCAGCTTTATTAAGATATTGGATGACTGACTGTTTAAATACATTATACATATGAATATTCTGATGTAAAATATATAACCACATACCTGTTTGTTGGAGTTACCAGTAACACCACGCATGACTGAAGGCCCAGTGGATGTAATAGGTTTAGTGACAGAGTAAGATTTACCTGGACTGGCCAGTAAGATCGTGTGTTGTTGACTGGTTATTGACCCAGTAGCCACATTAGTGACTGCAACAGCAACTGGATTCCCAGACTGATTACTCACCAATGAATTTTTGGAAAGCATGATTTTTGTAACCGACTGACCACTAGGCATGAGACAAGGTCGTTTGGGTGCAGTCTGAGCTACAAGTGGAGTCTGCTGGGGAATTGTGACTGTGGAATGAGGAACAACAATCTTCTCAGAATTTTTCCCTACAGTCAAAGGCACATAAACTGTTGAAGTACATACAGTAGAGGGCTGAGAACACACAAGAGTGGCTGGCTTACTTAGCTGTCCAACGGGTTGGAAGGAGGCCACTACTGTAGGAAGTGAGACTGAAAGAGAACTATGGTTAGGTGGTTGTGGTTTCTGAAGAATAACCACCTGCTGTTTGGATGTATTCACATTCACTGCAGAATTTCCAGCAGCACTGACAACTGTCACTGGTAATGTTTCTCCTGAAAAGTGCACATTAGTATTTACATTATCTGTTGAGTTATTCATCTCTGTTGCAAGTGTCACCATAGTAAATGGTGCAACAAGTTCTTTATCAGCACTGACCTGATTGGTGTCCTTCATCAATGGAAATGACACTTTGCAATCCTGGACAATTCCCAATTCAAAGGATGTTTTGTTCCCAGTAGGAACAGATTTGTTAGGTAAATGATCTGTCAATGGAGCCAGAATTGTTAAGCCTGGAAGTTTAGAATCTTCTAAATTATTACCCAACTGATGGGAGAAGTCATCCAATTCTTCTTTTATCTGTATCAGATCACGAGTTATTAAACTAACACCTTTCTGTTCTTTCTCTCTAGTACTTGTAATAGCTTTTTCTTGGGAGGTTTGTGGACTTGTTACTTCATATATGTCATTAACATCACCGCTTTGTTCAACAGTAGGATCTAAAAGGTTTAGAAAAAAACATATCTCTAAACTGACCAAGAGTAAGATGTAAAAAGTTGAAAAAATTGGTATTACAGTACATCTAGAGGGTTTGTCAACTTATATTACTATTATCTAATGGGTTTAGAAAATCATGTAATCTCTAAAATGACCTAGAGTAAGATGTAAAAAGTTGAAAAACTTATGTTATCACAGTATTTCTAAAGGTTTTGTCAAATCATGTTATCACTTCTTTCCTCTAAAGTCTAAAAGACTTAGAAAATTGTGCAAGCTACATTTTAGAAAGTTTTTCACGGTTTAGGTAATCACATTTTTACTGTCTCGGAGACCACCAAGTCTTCCTTGTCTACTTCTGCTAAAAAAAAGGGGTATGGAAAGGATGGTATGGAATGTATCCATTCAAAGATAGGTATCCAATTTGAATTCAAATGTAATTGTTAGTAACTTCTGATCAAAAACAAATTAACTGTATAGATCAAACCTAACCGTGTATTACAAGTTGCCTGGAAATACACAATGTCTTAAACCAACATAATACAAAATTAAAAACTATATTGATTAGAATAAATTGATTCATCAGTTGGGTGTCCTTAACAATCATATTTTAACTATAAACTCAACATTCTTCTGAAATAATCAGGAATATAATAAAGTGACAGTTTATACAATGCGTTTACTTGAAGTCACAAAAGCACTAACAAATACAAAATACAGAAATCTTGAGTTGCTTAACAAATATATTAACACAGGTATTGATAAAATTCACAAATCTGTCAATGCATAATTCACCACATCCACGAAAGTAACACCCTACAAAAGCTTGACAATTTAATTGATATACTCAATTTCCTAAAAGTAGCAACTATATTGATTGGTGTCATGTAAACTAATTGTTTAATCAAAGTTAGTGTTTCCAGCTATTACTGTTTTCAATTATATCAGCAACTGATTAATCAGAATTACAATTAAATCAATTGTCATGAAAATAATCAACTAAATGAAATTAAGGATTTTGGTTATTACTATTCTTGATTATTACAACTATCTAAGTAATGTTATAATTTTCCTACACTAAAAATGTATTTCCGATAGATACTTACCTCTGCTCATGTAAATAGCTATTCTTGTTCAGTGCTGCTGCATATATGCAAGAAAAGGTTTTTACGCATGCCACAAACATTCTATCTCTCCTCCATTGGAATTGACTGATTCCAATGCATCTCTCGTGCAAATCATCAAGCATCAACCTTCCACCAATAAGTGTGCCACATACTCTCATGACACATGTGACTTCGTCTATTCGATTCTACTGAACTAGTAGCACCGGTTTTCAGTGCAGAGGAATGGTGGGATCTGTGAGAAGAGGTAAGTACCTATCAGAAATACATTTTCAGTGTAGGAAAATTAACTTCTGATACGGTACATTACTTTCACTCACACAGCTAGAATCCTACATTGAATAATTGAAGGGACCAGTGTGAAGGAAATAAAGAAGGAGTAGGATGAGGATCATACCACTGGTAAGTCAACTACAATTTAAATCCAGGCCACTGGAGTTCCAACATCTATATGGGGGTAGGAAAAAGGATCATATCACCAGCAAGTTGACTACAGCACAAAACCCAGCCATCTTCACCTCAAGTTCAGGAGATTGGAGGGAATCTAGTACCCCTCAACTCATGAATGGGACACATGTGAATTTGATAGATTGATCCGGGAAACTGACATCTGTTATCAAAAAGATGTCTACATAATGTAAACCACCTCCATCAAAAGTGAAATTGATCAGAACCACCCCAAGTGCATTAACTTCGTCAAAATAAGAAACATAAGAGAATAGCACAAGGGAAAGAATTAACTCCACCATGACCTACAAGACTGATGGAGTATAAATAAGGGAGGAATATAGGCATCTGTAATACATGTATGAGGACTTATCTTGACTGCTTCTACTCTAAATCCAAAACCCAGCTACTGGGAACCAACATCCACATGGGGAGTAAGATGAGGGACCCCAACCATAGGGGTAAACTGCAGTTTTGAGGTCTCACTCCCATTTGTTTTTATGTTTCATATTGGAGGATATCATGTAAGCTACATCAGCAGAACACCACCACCCTACTCTCAACTGAAGGGTTTTATAATCATTTCTATTTTTTGTTTATATTTCATTAACCCATTCAAGAAGATGCCTTCACAGTCCACCACTCCAGTGCAAACTCCACTAGAAGAAAAGGAGTGGAGAGTCAAGTGGAACGACAACACCTGAGATAGTGCAATGGGTGACCACGAAACCCTATTTTTAAAAGCAGACCATACCAATTTATTCAGTACAAGGTATGGCAGGAATGGGCAACTATCCCCTTCTGCTTTACTCACGTAGTCCATGGGTGGGTAAAGTCCATGATGGGCAAACTTATGAAGCAATTCTATCACGAGGATAAACCTACAAGTGAACTTGTGGAACACCCCATCTCTGCAGTGTGCGTTGCATGGCCATGGAATTATAATTATAATTTCAACATGGCTTGAAAGTGTGGATTTTAACAGTTATAAGATACCTGGTCAGACACCACTCATCACAGAGTGGGATCCAAACAAGGAGCATTAATAAAGGGGGGGAAAGGGCATCTGAAAAGGAAAAATAAGAAAAAAAAAGTTACCCAATCAAAGTCCCACTGAATTCTGATATTCTAGAAAGGCTAGAGGCAGAAGACAATAACCATGATCCGATGATCCAAGAAAAACATTGGGCTCCACATGTGTGTTGTACAGTTTGCACATCTGGCTTGATACAGTGGCTGAATAAGGGTTTGGTTTGGTTGTTTTAAAGCAAAGCCACATTTGGCTATCTGCTGTGTCCACTGCGGAGAATTGAACCCCAGATTTTAGCATTGTAAGTCCATACACTTATCACTGTTCCACTGGGGGGCAGTCTGAATAAGAAGAGTGCAAATATTCCATTTGCAGTTCCCATGATATGGCATGAGCCCAAAGATCATCTAACTGACTATTATTTTTGCATGACTAATGTTTCTGGATATTCAGACAAAAACTAAACAATATATTAAATATCCAGATATTGCATCTGCAATGAAACCAGTACCTCACGGGGATGGTCTTCCAGTGCCACATCCACCAGTAAATTGGGAAACTGAAGAATTATCCTGCAAAGAAGACAAAGAATCATCTTTATCCCCTTCATGTAGTAATTCTATTCCTGTGGCACCTGAACATAAACTGCCTCATCTGATTATAAAAGAAAAGTTAAATGATCTGAATTGTGACTTGTCTCTATCAAAACAGCATGAAGAACTTCTTAGCTCTTGTTTACAGCAATGAAATTTATTAGCTCTAGGAACAAGAGTTTCAATTTACTAAAGTCGCCATCAAAGTCTTACTTCTCACTACAGCATGCAAGATACTTTGTGTTTCTGTACAAATGTTGATGCACTAATGGAAGAATTAGGTACTGAACATCATCCTCAAGAATGTAGACTTTTTACTGACTCATCTAAGGTTAGTCTGAAAGCTGTACTTTTGTATAATTGGAACACTAAGCCATCAATTTGTGTTGCTAATGCTGTGAACATGAAAGAAATTTATCAAAGCATACAGATTATGCATATTTAAATGCAATTTTCAATGAATAAGTACAGTTATTAAAGAAAAGTTATCTTCATGATATGTAAGAATATTTTGAAAAATCTATCATATCTCAAATACTAGATGCAATCAGTAATTTTCAACATGATTTTTAGAATCAGCATCATCAAATTACTCAGAAACAGTTGCATTTTTACTAGTAGCAAAAAGTTTTTGTTGCCTGGTGTTATTAGAGCCACTGATAGTAAATACCACAAAGAGCACCCAGCTCTACACCCTACAGTGTAACATAGTTAAGCAAAAGTTTTGTGAACATGCAGTACAACAGTCTTTCAATAACTCATTTTGACAAAATTGTTCTCAATATGATTATAAAATGAACAAATTCTGTTATGTAGTAGATGATTTACTGTATATTGTAGTCCATGTAGGTATTGGTTGGTGTTGATGGAAGAAAATCCAATGAGCTTAGATTATCTTTCAAGAGTAAGAAAATTATATTATGTAAGATATATATATATATAAAGCAAGCACCTAATGAAAAAGAATTAAAACTCTTACAAGTTAGCAGCTTATATTGAATGAGGGTGACTCAACACACTGGCCATATTACCTGGAATTTCACTGATCTCTACAATCAAATCAACCATATTTTGTCTAGATAACTGACTCACTTCTGAAATTATATTTAGGATCTGCAAGATTAAAAAAAAAAAAGTTTCTTGTATGACAGCTAATTATAAATAAAACAGTCCCCCAGTGGGTTATAAGTAAGTTTATGATCTTGCAATGCTAAAATTCAGAGTTTGATGGACAGGTCACAAATAGCATATTATGTAGCTTTGCAGTAAAGCAAAAAAAAAAAACAAAGTACCATTTGGATTAGTTCTTCACAAGACTTCATGTTCATGTCTAACTGTGCAAATGGAATTATTCATTCGAGGAAAAGAAATTTCATGTCAGTATTAATTAAAAGAAAAATTGCCAGTAGTAAGCAAAATGATTTTATGTTATTGAAAAAAATATATGGTAGTAGTGACACTAATTATGCATACCTTACGAAGGAATTCCATTAGAGTTAGTCGATTAGTAGAATTTATTAATTGATTAATTGTCAGGCTCATTAATCAATTAATCTCAGGAGACTTGAATTTTTACAATAATGAAAAATAGTAATAATAATAATAAGAAGAAGAAATATTACTTTTATTTAAGCTGAAAAACCTTGAATTCATCAAAAATAATAATGAGAAATCATAATGCCAACATTTTGATTAGTTAATTAATTTTATGACATTAAATGATTTAATCATAATTTAAGCTAATTAAATATTTTAGATGACCCTAATCAATGTATTTGATAATTACAGATAAATAATATTTATCACCTAGC